GTGTAAAACCACGGTAGAAATGGTTAACCCCAACTCAAGGGCGTAAAGGTTTAGCCAACTGGTGAGTAGGTGAACACTGCGAAAGTTTGCACCGAACAGTTCTCTAGTAACTCTGTACCAATTTTAACAACAAGCACTGTGAGTTCCGTTAAACCAACTGACGGATATAGTTTCACAGTTGTCATCCAGTCATATCGCTTGTTACGCCTAAACTAACTAATTAGCTATCCCAACGGAGCACCTGCCATGGTACTATTACCGGCGGGAGAAGGTGATGCGCGGACGAGTGGACTGTTGTGTCTAGTGCACGAAGTGGTGCACAGAACCGGCAAAAAATCAGACAAACGAAAGGATGCAGACCGTGAAAATGTGAAGAACGCGGAGAAGATAAACAAAATGACAGCTGGCCGAATGCTAGCTGTATTGAGCACCCTGGGATATGGAACGATATACGATTCGGATGGTCGGATAAGGTAAGAAATAGTAAATATGAGTGAACGAGTTCATTCTTAGTGTTTATTCAATAGGCGCCTAATTTGCACATGATGTATCGACAGTGCATAGTCGATGTAGTACATGGCGTGCAGGTGCGCTCAACAAGCACAAATGCATGCTTCGGTCGCCCACATAACACAAGTTATAAACTACTGACAAGGTAGACTAGCGCATGATTAGCACAAGTGAGGTGAATAATTAGGATCTGTACACCGGAGTGTGATAGATCCAGTTATCATACATCACCAACATAATGACAATAATAACAGTAATAAAAGGGAGCGGATTGCGAATGAACAGAAATAAAACCTCTAAATGGAGTAGTGAAGCGTCGAAAATGAAGGATGGAATGAGAAACCGCTAGTAACATGGTGGTCGCGCGTTATCACATAACATGTCCTAACCTTTCGTGAGCTGATTCATGTGATGCTACTATGCCATTGAAGGATGAGCACCGGGTTTCACGCAACAAGGTTTTTCACATCCCAGTACCCTGAGTCTCGCGAAATGCTTTGTATGTGTGACTAGGGTCTCAGATGGAAGAGGGAATGCCAAGAGGAATAAAAGTTCTCATTTGGAACCTGGCTTGGCTTCGTGTCTCTCGGCTTCCGGGTTGGGGCCCGAAAGGTTGTGAAAGCATTTGGTTGGAGACACTTGGCCAGGAGCTCGCCTTATTAGCGTTTGTGGTGAGTTTCCTTGTACCTCCCTATCCAACTACGATCCCAACGTATATGCATAATAAAAACGGAGCGTAAGTTATTTGTCTTGGTTTGTCGCTTCCCTTCTTTCACCAGCATGTAGGTGTATTGTATTTCTGTATAATAGCTGAGGATTTTCTCACCTCTAGCTAATATGCGTAATAATGGGGAGTGATTTGAAACCAATAAGTTTAGATACTGCCGCCTTCATGGGTGATCGAGGCTATGAAGTCCTACGAGATCTGTAAATGTGTGCAGTGAGAGGTGATAAGACACCTGAAGTGATAGAGCTACTTGAAAAATCCGACCAACCACCACGAGCGGTGGTCCCAAGATTGCGGCAGCTGATGGCATGTCGGCCCATATGCGTCCGACGCAGAGCAACAGCGTCGGTGCACTCTGTGAGTCAGTCACCGAACAGAAGTGTCACCAGTTCGACCCGAAAGTTGAAAAGTGAAGACAGAGTATCCATGACGCATCCCAGTTGGGAGTGAATTAAAAGATAGTTTACAGTAGACCACCAAGCGGCTTCAAGAGTCATAGCGCTGAGTCTGGAGTGTAAACTTTAACACAAAGGTTATCTAGCGCTATAAAAAAGTGGGGTTAACGAAGTCAAGATCAACCTCTAAGTCTAGGGAGGCTATCGTGATAAGTCGTTTAGAAGCGCACTATTTCAAATCACATGGCGAAGCGACAACATAGGGTCGGCGCAATATCAACTGGGGTAGAAGCCAGTCTATTTGAACTAGTTAAACACTCACGTGGACCGAGGAATTGCCGGATTATGATGTGCGTGGCAGTTTAGAGGTAACGTAGGAGAAAATAGTACTAATCTGGTTCGCACCAGACACCCCTTGGCCGATTGTAAAGATGGAAACCGCGGCTAATAACCACCAATCTGGTGGTGCTCTTCGCATGAGTTACACGGACACAAATTAGTTGGTTAGGCCATTTATCAGTGGATAGTGTCAAATCAAAGATAGGTCGCTTCGTGTTGGATCGCGCTGATGGTATAATTTGTCACGTCAGTCTCGAATTAGTTCAGGTGACCTGACCAACAATTTTTAAGTACCGAGTGGAAGAAAACAATCGTCGTAATTTCAGCGTTCAAGACTTGGTGAATCAGAAAAACAACTGCCCCATTTACAAGTGGAAATATTGGACATGGAACGTTGCATGCGTGAGGGCTGCAATTCAACTTTCCTGATGGGACTCGTCTTTTCCATCTCATCACCAATATGCCGGTTGAATTTTGACACTCGCAAATTATGTGCAGTTCAATATGGTGCGCACTTTAAACTGATGTAATAACCAACCAACTTCGGCGTTTCACTCAGACGTATCGAGGCTCCATACATCTATAGGACGCCTCAAGAAGTTCCATGTTGTGTCAGCTGCATCCACCTCGTTAGTCAGTGACAGTTGAGGCTACAATCCTGAACGGTACGGCTGCTTCGCAGGCTGCAACTACAGTTGACTTCTCAGTGAGCAGAAAAGTGAGTTTTGTGTGGGTCGGGCACTAGCTTACGGATACAAATGTCCCACATCAACTGACAATCTCGAACTTGCTGATGGCGATTGAGTCCAGTGCAATCAGCCATTCGGTGGACACCACATTACTCGATACGATCGCAGGTGCTGAAAAGTGCAACCTGCGTAAAAGTTGGGACTGGCACATAGCATCGATCACGAAACGGCTTCCAAGCTGACGTTTCGACGTTGAGTACTCATACCACTCGTAACCATAGCTGAGATTTTAGACATTGGAACAACGGGTGTTAAGAGAACCTCCCGAAGAACAGGACAGGGCGACACATATCCCTAAAATCGAATCCATAACTTAGAAATTTGCATTGGTGGATTGTAGGTGTTCCACAACAATCTGTTACCATTATTGGTAAGTAAATAATGAAGTAGAACAAAGCGCACAGGAAAGTCAAACGTACCATATGTAATCGCCGTCTTTTCTGGTGAATAAACCGGTATCCGAAATCCACCTTCTTATCAACCAGTTAGAACGACCGGCTTCTCTGATCCGTCTGGAACTATATGATAATAATAATAATACGTCAATTGGCAGCTTTGGGTCATAGTGCGTCAACCTTAGTACTGAAGTTAACAACGACTTGATTTTGTCGACAGTTTCTTGACATTCGGTGGTCCAGAACCACGGAACAACCATCATCAGGTTGATTCAATGGCGAGCGTAGGTCGTGCATAGACGGTAGGTAGGTAATGTGGTAACTCACCATAGCAACGAAAGATTTCAATGTCGCTTCCTCCTTAGATGGTGGCACGCTTCTGATTGCTTTGATGTTTGATGCAGCCAGTCGTCGCGCATTTTGATCCACCATAAAATCGAGGTATTTAACAGACGTCATAAAGAACGCACACTTGTCCATCCTCAGCCGGAATCCATACTCGTTATTCTATCAAGCACGTTTTCAATTCGTTGGCACAGTTCTTCCGGGTTATATCCCATGCTGATGATATCGTCCAAGTATGTTGCAGCATATGATATTCTTTGTAACATGGTGCCCATGATCCGATGAAAAATTGCCCGGGCCGATTTAACACCAAATGGTAGGCGCGTATATTGGAATAATTCACGATGGGTGTTTATTGTTAGTAGCTCTCACGACTCTTTTGACATTTCAATCTGGAGATATGCGTCAGACAAATCCAGTTTGGAAAAACATTTGCCACCATCTTCAGAAAGGGGGTATAGGGTAGTTGTGGTCTTCTAACGCAGCATTCAGGTTTGTAAAAGTCTGCGCAGAGGAGAATCTTTCCGTTGGGCTTCTTGACAATCACAATGGAGGGGGGGGGGGTGGATTGTAGCCTCTCAAGTTTTTGGTCAACGACTGAAACGACCGCAACTGGAACTGGATCCTTTGGTCGGAAGACCGGTATCGTGTCTGCCCGCAAGGATAAACTAGCCTTGCTTTTCGTGCACAATCCCAGACCGTCCTTGAAAACTTGTAGATACTTCCTTTGTGAGGTCGCTATCCAATGCGCAGCGCCACTGTTTACTTTGTTGCACACGGAGTTCAAAGAGACATCAAACAACTTCTTACTGTCAATCCAGTCAAGGCCAAGTTAGTTCAGATTAGGATGCCTTGTTACATGGCAAACCCCTACGAATTGGGTCTCCGAAAGCAACAAGAAAATAAATTTCACCAAGGATGTTCAGTACTCCTCCTGAAGCATTGGTTGCAACGTGCGTTGATTCCTGTAAAGTCGGTCCACCAATCTTCTTGCAAGTTGTCTAGAAATTGACAGAGATATCAGAGACAGTATCAACGTGGAGGTGCACAGGCACTTGATTCACAACTACTGTAACGAACCTTCCGTGTCCTGCGGCCCCCTCATCGAAAGTAGCAAAAACAGGAAAAAGACGGGATCTATGTTTTGGTGCAAACTTTCTGGAATAGCTGGTGAATAAGTCACGAATGAAAGCAAGAAAACGGCAATGGTCCTTCGTGTGACCTTGTCTATTGCATTTCTGACAGATATGCTTTTTGAACGGACAGTCTTAAGGGTTACAGTTAGAGGAGGAATAGGCAAGAACAGCAAAAGCCAGGTTGCCATCAGAGTCCCAGTGAGATCTGTTTGAGGTCGATCACGTGATCGTGAAAGACTTAGAACTAGAACAGCGTGCTGTTCGGTCGTATTTAGTTCAATTGTGATCGTGGCCAGTCGTAGGAGCTTTGGATGGCTCGCACATTTGTGACTAGGATTGGCGTGGTAAGACGTGTGCGGCAGCCAACTAGCGAACAAGTGGTATTCATCCCACAAGCCGGATCAAGCTATGGAGCTCATATTCCACGCTTACGAGCTGGGCCCATAACTAGTACCTGGTATCTATCGTGGCCATAATACAAGACGAGAACTATGCATCTTTCTTACGAATAGGGTGCTGAGACAGAGTTTGGACATGAATGACTCCAAAGGCACTTAGAAAGCTATCCAGCGAGGAGCAATGGGTCACTGAACACCGAGAGCAGAGAGCGAGAAGACAGAAATCTGTGTTGCTCCATCGTAGATGGATCGGGCACATGCGCGGAATCACGTCGCTGATTCCTGTGAAGTGGCAGCATCTTGCAGCAGCACTACATTTTATCCTGGTGCGATACGCTCCCTCTACCTGTAGTCCGCAGAGTGGGCGTCAAGGAATCACTTAAATTCCGACATTGATTTCACGTCGACTAGCATCTCGGGTAATTTGTTCCAATATTTCACTACTTGACGCTCAAAGCATAGAGGGTGAAAAATGTGCT